CTAGGGCAGAGTGAACTAGCTTCCAAATAAATCCTCAAAAGCCCATGATGGGCCAAAACAGGAACCAAACAGGAAAACAACACCGTGTCTCTGAGGAGAGCAGAGCTAGCAAACACACACCAGAGGAAGCTACAGTCCTAATCGCTATCGTATTTCCTACTCTCCCCCAAACTTGCTTCATTTGGTGGCCTCTTCTATGCCTCAACACCCTTCCCTTAAAATTACAGACGCGCCACTAGCGCATGAGGGCTGGGGGGCTCGGCCCCGCCGGGCTCTGCTGCGGGGCAGCGGGAAGGCAGCGGCCCCGCAGGGCTGGTTTGCAGCCGTTGGACCGGAGACGCTGACATTTACTACACGCCCCGTTAGCAGCTTGTGTCAGGATAAAAATCAAAGGTCAGCCTGTAACCAAATTCGCCGCAGGAAGCATTAAGAGGGCGACGATACGTGAGTCACGCTTATCAATTCAGGTTCATCCCACGCGGCGGCTTTCTCAGCGCGAGCAGAGGGCTTTGAACAGCCCAGATGAATAAGCCGCTGTGTTTGAGCAGCACCGCTTTGGTGACTTATTTTCAATGTGAAGGTAGGTTTTTCTAGAGTTTTTAGGAATTCACATCCCTAGAAGCATCTAAGGTCGCTCTGAAAACTCCACCCTTGCAGCACTGGATAGCCTGATTTTGAGGTCGCCTTCTTATTTTTAGAGCAATATTCGCCATTCTGGGCACTGCAGGCTTCTGACCCGAGAAGAGAGGCGCGCCAGTCATACTCACTAGCACGGGATCGAACCACCTCGAACCTCGGCTGGTTTTGGAGCCTGGGGAAAAAAAAAAAAATCGAGGAACAAGGCTAGCTGGATTTTGGGGCACATGACAAGGAAAATAGAGGCAAGAGACTTCCTTCTTTGGTAAACAGATGGAAGCAGAGCGCTGAGCCGAGCCTAGCGCTATATCGAGGTTACATGGCTCAGCGTGTCATGCAAGCACCCATACAAATTGGGAGCAGCTTCCCTGCTGTTTTCCTTGCTACATTGCCCGAGGTGATGCAGAGAGGTCTTCTCCTTTTAAGTCTCACTTTGGCGTCCTCTTTTGCCCTTTTAATGCCGATATGGGCGTAAGGATCATTGGCAGAGCAGCCTACATCAGCTAAGGGAAGGACCGGGGATGAGGAAAACATCGTTTGTCAGGATTAATTCCTACTCTGACATTCTATGCACCAGTTAAGCTGTATTTAAATTTTTTAAGTGCCCACAGACTGGTGGCTCACTTTCAAAAGTACCAAAGGCAAATCTATAGGGCCCACAAATAAATTCAAGTACCTCCCGAACTTGGGGTGTACCTCAGTTGTCTTGGAAGGCCGGCATCCCGTTTTCACCCAGAAAAAAAAAGGAGTTTTAACCCGTAAAAGGGCTTCAAACCCTACTGCCTCACCTCAGCTCTTATCCCTTCTGCTCCCAAGATCCCTTACTACTAACCAGAAATAACATACGCCATCAATAATCCTCTTTACTTTGTAGGTAGCACACGAGAGCTGCTCTCCAGAGCACAACAGGATTCAGCTCCCGTTCTACTGCAGGTGGATATAGGCACTAATTAGCGCTAATTTTGGGACCTTGGAAGCGTCTCTGTTCTCTTCCTCCCTTTATTCTGGTCGCCCCTCTTTCTCGGGCTGGTGCTGACAGCGTAGTGCTGGCGGGGAGCTGAGCTGAGCTGTCAAAGGACTTAATTGCAAAGTCTGCAAACGTATAGAGTTAGGTCACTTTGCTTGCAAAAAGCCAAAACTAAAGCAAAACTTATCTAGCAAAAGAGCACACAATATCATGAGCCTGAAGTCAAACGACCTAATCCAGCTATAAATTTTGACAAAGCGAGACTTTTCGGTGTTGGCCCGCAGGGGGACGGAGCCGGGGCTGGCTTTTCCATCAGCCTGCGGCAGGCCGCACCGCAGCCCTCCCCACCTTCGCTGCCGAGCGGGGCCGAAGCAAACGCCGCCGGCCCCGCAGAGGCCTCTGCAGAGCCCTTCTGCACCGTATTAGCACCATTGTGAAAGGTTCAAAGCCACCTTTCTTTTTTTCGTTCTATCATATTAGCTGCGGTTTGTCTGTTTGTTTGTTGTTGTTGTTTTGGGAAAGAAATAAGGGGGGGGGGTGTACGTGCGTGCATGTGCACAATGATATTTCCTTAGCTGCTTGGGCTGCAGGCTTGGTGGTTGACTCCGGCACACGTTCTGACTAGCACCAGTCAAACGCTGGATTTGGTTTATGAAGGTATGAGGCTCTCTACTTTATCTTGGTGTGCGATGGCACGAGATAAGAATTTGCCCTTCCTCTCTTCCAGAGCTTTTTCAACCTAGCTGGTGACTCAGAGGCCTCCGTCTCAGAGCTTCGGTCTCCTTTCGGATTACTCTCTTTAAAGGCATTACCCCTGTACCAGAGTCGCTGGTCTATTCTGTGTCGAGGGTGCGGTTTTCTCCACACCTGCAGCACGAGATGCTGGGATTAAACAAAAACAAAACAAAAACAAACAAACAAAAACCCCAAACCCTCCAGATAGCTGTTCTGCCAGCCAGGCACATCCTAGCCGAAACTGAGATGTCGGCAGCGCACGGACCTGCAAGCCGCCTTCGTCTGGCTCTGGCCAGGATCTCACCCCGTTTCGGAGCCGTTTTTGGAGAAGTGCGATTGTGAAAGGCAACTTACTGACTCCTCCGTTTGTTCTGCTTCTTTTCTCGCTTAGTAGCTGAAAGAAAATTAAAAAAGGCTCTTAGAAAAGGGTGAGGCAGGGGTTTAAGGCCAGAAGGAGACAGACCAGCGAAAACATGGTCATCTCAGAAACCCTTTGGCCGGCAGCAGGAGAAGGCAGCGGAGGCAGAGACCCGCAGTTGTGGTGGGTTTTTGACCTGAACACCCACCAAAACGGTCGCGTGACCTTGCAGAAGCAGGGCCAGAAACGCCGGACTTTGCTTCGGAGGTGCCCTCACCCCCACCCAGGACCTTCTGGGGCGACACCGGGCTCAGACAGCAGCTGCTTTTGGTTAAATCACTGCAGCCACAG